TAAAAATTCTTCTTTTCTCATGCTATGTCATGGGAGAAACTGATAATTATTGTTCTGGACTAAATAACTTTTGCAGACCGATTACAATTTAAAATTGTGTATTTTTATTTAAAAAGGTGGAGGGGTGCCTAAACTATGTCATTATACAAATAAATCTTATAATAAATTGGTAAATTAATGTTGTCAACTTTTTAATTTGTTGAACTTGTATAAAGATTATGCGTAACAACATTCAGAAGTCATATTTCTGGAATTAAATGATTGATCACCTAATGAAAATAATTGAAATATCATACTTTTGAACAAAGCTCTAGTATGGGAATACATGATTTATTTATAAGTTATAATTGGCTTTAAACTAGCTTTCAGTAACTGCAAGTACTATTATTTTGGTGATTTGTGTAAATTGTTTTATGTGAGTTGTTTTTGTGCCTCATACCAATCATTTGAGTTAAGCCAATTGCAACTGATTCTTACAGGTTGTTCTCATGATGTGCTGTACACCACTGTCCTAGGTTATGGGAGGGTTGAGCGCGTGCAAACATATTTAACACAAGAACATTCTTTATGTTCCTGTCCCAAGTCAGGAGCCTGTTACACAAGTTCAGTTGTTACCGTTGCTTCATGTCTGTCATATTTGTTTTTCGTAAATTGTTTTTTATAAATAGGGCCGTTAGTTTTCTCATTTGAATTGTTTCACATTTTCCACGGAGCCTTTTATAGCCAACTATAAAGTATGGGTGTTTAGCATTATTGAAGGTCGCACAGTGTCGTATAATTGCTTACATCCACTTTATTTGAACTCTGGTGAATAATTGTCTCAATTGCAATCATACCGCATCTCCTTATTTTTATATTAAAAACTTGCGATATGCATCATCTTTTCAATTTCCTACTTGTATAATGTCAAAGTGTCTTGATAAGCAAGATAAAAAAAATCAACTCATACAATAATAACCTGCCACTGACAAGCATTAATTTTGAATCTTATCCATATCGAATAATCGAATAAATACTTGTTTAGGCTAAACTTACATGGTCCGTGTTTGGCTATACTGTTTTATCCGCTTTTCAGGCTCGTATACATTTTTGTATTGTAAAATAGCTCTGGTTCGAACATCACTGACGAGACATTAATTTTCGAAATGTACATCTGGTGCAGTAAAATTGGTAGCGTGAGTATTATAACAACAACAATACACGTATCTTATCGAATATTTGATATCTCCTTTTTTGTCTTCAGTACAAAATTGACACCAACTTATATCAACTAATCAATGGAACAAAAAGATATTTAAATTTGTTGATAAACAATCCGTGAAATTTTGCATAGTTATAGAAGAAACTCTAGTGCACTAGCGAATCTAGTTCCGATTCAGTGGAAGGAACATTGTTGTGTTGGGTATTGCTTTATTTTGTGAATGATAGTCTGCTGATCATGAACAAAAAATATATTTGCTCAACCTTTGTTTGTCGATTGTTGCTGTGACTTTGCTATATTTTACTCAAAATCGAAAAACAAATCCGGGTGACAAACCAAAACTGAGGGAAACACATCAACTATAAGAGGAAACAAAACGCAACAACAGAAACACTGAACTGCTACAAAAACAAACACCAACATACATAGAAACGGACAATTTCAAATAAAAAAGAAGATGTGGTTTGATTTTCAGTCTACTTACTGGAATCGTTAACCTGACATTTGACCTGTGATATTGTGACCCGAAAACTCAATCGTGGTCTTTTTCTATACAAATTGTCGTTTTAAAGCCAAGTTTGTGAGGTTGGACTTAGGGGAACCAGAAGCTATCACCCTAAACCCAATGCAAATTTCCAGCTAATTATGGATTAAAAATTGCTGTTGAATCCTTATTCTTTGACCTAATGACATCAAATCAATAAGGGTATTTTTCATCAAATGAGCCATAATCTTGGTATCAATAAAATTTTGGTATCAGTTGGACGCAAAATTTAGAATAATTATATAATTCGGAAACCAAAAGTTTGTCCAAATTTCACTCTATTAGATGCTGCTATGACCTAGATCTTTAACATAGTAACTTCGAAATCAAAAGGGAGGTGTTTCAACTACGTCGAAGAGAAACTGGCAAACATACAAGTACAATGAAAAAACAAGTTCACAACATACTATATAGAAAACTAAAGACTGAGCAACACAAACCTCACCGAAACCTGGGGTGCTACCAGATTCTCCGAAAGGGTAAGCAGATCCTGCTACACATGTGGTACCCGTCATGTTGCTCGTGGTAAATACAAATTCGATTATGAGTCTCATTCGATGATATTTAACGTATATAATATGGATTCGACCATTAAAATCCCTCGTGCATAGCTCTCGGGATTATATTGGTATTTCGGGTTGATAGCTCGAAGGATTATATTGGTTGAGGGTTAGATACAGACGTGATATTAAAAAATCCTACAATATTTTCTAAATAATTTTTACCGTCAAATAATTAGTATTCCTCTAATATTTTCACATCTTTAAAACAAAAATGTTCACAGCAATAACACATAAAGTTTAAACAAATTTTTATATTCTTTGGACGGAACTTGGAGAAATTGCAATTAAAAGTAAACCAATTGATTTTTTTTCGCCACTTTTTATGTACATTCTATACTAGTATATTAATTTATTTAGTTTATGCATTTTAAATTGATTGTATCTCTAAAACTATAAATGCTACATATATCAATTTTTCGAGGTTCAGATGAAGTTCAACGTATCATAATTGTATAGAAAATAGCATAAAAATATGAAATAACGCCTTATGAATGCAAGACTTAGATACGATCTCTTTTTTTTTTAGCAAGAAGCGCTTCCGTTTGCGTTCATTTTCATATAAAAATTTTCAAAAAACCAATATTCAATTCTATAATGAAAAATATCTCAAAATGCCATATATCATCTCTCAGTAGCTTTTTTGCTGATTTATTTAAAACATATGGGGGCGTAGGAGCATCGAAATCCTTCCCAATTAATTATCTTAATCCCTGAACTTGTTACACCTATTATTATTATTGTAGATAAGAAAAAAATTAGCATGCTCTTTGTCGCTGTAAATAATGACAGACAAGACTCAACAAATCAGGAAAAAACTTTTGTTAATACAAAACTTCATTAAATTTACTGTGCTTATTCAGTGAGCTTTGGGATATCACAATAGCAATGGCTTAAACAGTTTACCAAATTGCTGTTTGGATTCTTCTCCAACAAACTGACCAACTGGTAAAATATTTTATCAATTTGCTTCAGTGAGGGTTGTTCGTATGAATGCGTGCAGTGAAATAAAAGTAATACATACCATCCAGCTCCAGTTAGTTCATGTCTATGTCATCAATTTCAAACACTTACTATAATAAGCGTCACGGATTTAAAAAGGTCTAAATTTGACATGAAAACTTCTATCCTAAATAAATTTTATAAATAAATAGTTCAAAACATTGTTTTGTAGGTCAATACATTATAGTTCTGTTTTCTAACAGCAAGTTAGTGTGTAATTGTAATTTGGATATTTTTTTTCTAAAGCAATTACTAATCTGCTAATATTAAAGGGAAATAATTTACATTACTGTAAAATCATCAAAATTTTGTTCTGTCAAATATCAACTTCCTTCATATTATAAGTAATTTGTTTGTAACATTATTTCCATGATTATTAAACTATTATCCTCTGTTCTGAAAAGACCACTGAAATTTATTTTTAAGATGTTTTAATTTTGGAAAAAACCCGTTAAAAACATATTGTAGAACACATTCAAAGTTCTATCATACAGATTCCTCTGTAAAGTAAGAAGGTATCACCGGTGAGCCCAGTAGTCAGCAACTCTGTGTTGACATGAATTTTCATTGATATGGTCAGAATTATAGATTAACTGTTTTGCAAACTTTTAATTGTTCAAAGTATTAATGATTTTCTACCACCAAGGATTAGATTACTTATAAGCAATATTTGGCAAAACCTTTTGGAATTTTGTGTCCTCAATGTTCTTCAACTTCATACTAATTTTGCATTTCAATTTTTTTATTCGAGTCGTATTGATGAATCATTTTTAGGCAAAATCATAAGCCTGGCATCTTTGATTAAATTTTTAATATACAAAGACCCAATACAAATGATTTCCCTTTAATGCCCGCAGATCAGTAATTCTTATAAAAAATATTATCCAAATCACAATTACACAATAACTTCTATTAGAAAACAAAGCTACAAATTATCGACCTACAAAACAATGTTTTGAACTATTTATTTATAAAATTTATTTAGGATAGAAGTTTTCATGTCAAAGTTAGACCTTTTTAAACCAGTGCCTTATATTATACTAAGTCATTATTTTGTTTGAAATTCATGACCAAGACAATAACTAACTGAAGTTGAATGGTACGTATTACATTTTATTTCATTGCACTCATTTCATACTAACAACCCTCACTGAAGCAATCTTTTCGATGGGTAACAATCTGCTCTATCACCCTCTCAGATATGTGTTATTTAATTTATTATACTGAATGTTCTGTTATAACTGTCTATTAAATTTCAAATTCAAAGTAATAAACTATGTCGTCTTGTACATAACAATCATCCGTATTTATTAAAGCGCACACTTGAGCAAGCGTCTCCGTGAAGGGTAATAGAGTATTTGCCATGGGATAGAGTAAATTGTCTCCCTCGTATTAACCAATCAAAATCTGACATTTTGATATGAAGTATAACAAATACAAATATATATTGATATTGTAATGATTTTTTTTACGGATATCTGATGAGATCTTCACACAATTTGATGTCATCACCGTGTGTGTCAATGCTCCGCAAAACAAAAACCCGGATAAGTTCTACCTAGGTAATTCAAGTAATTAATGTAGGTTATCAAGGAGAAACAAAATGTTCTGAACTTTATGGTAACTACTGGTTTCTGAAAAATGGATCAAACCACAAGCCAAGTTGATTTTTAATATGAAATGAAGTCGCAGTAACCACATCATATCATGTGGGAGTATTGCATTTTTTTGTAAAGCAATTTGACTATAAATAACGTTTTTTAATACAAGAGAAAAATATCAATTATAATAATTCATCTAAAAATAATCCTAAGCTAAATGTGTACACTGAGGAATATCATTTTTGTTCATCTTCATATGTTCTTCGACGCAGACTTAAATGTAAAAAATGGATAAACTTAATTGAAAGAATGTATGTAATATATGGATGTACTTAAAAGGATTTCATATATTATATATATCTACATGACATACAAAAATATTAAATTAAATTATAAGATAACATATTAATTGATTTGCTAGATAAGCTTTTGAAAAACTTCTTTTCATTGTATAACATCTCTTTTATGCTTCTGAAACATTAAAAGATTGTGTTATGTCAACATTAGGATTTTCGCTGAAACCCCTCAACAGTTTTGGTTTATTTGTCTGCCTTAGACTTGGATTGTTGACAACTGTAAACGCTTTATACCATTTATTGCGTAAAAACGTCTGTTTCTGTCTTTTCAAACTATCGGACACACTCCTTTGGTATTCGAGGTTTTCTTGCGGAGCCTGTAGTGAAATGTCAGTCGATTTGTTTTTCTGTGAAGTCAAGAGTTCATCACAGAAAACCAACAAAATAGGATTCCTGTGACGAAGTTCAAACATGATCAAACCAACATATGCCGCGTATCCTGAAATGAAAAGGTACATTACGCTAGATATTGCTTTATATTTCATGGAAATGTTATCAATTGCACGTTGTAAGAAAAAGGAAGTTATCAAGTCAACCAAAATAAATAGATAAAGAAAAAAAGATAATAAAAGGGTTTTCTTTCTTTCTCCAACGATGAACATATGTGATATTTCCATAAACTTTTCCCCGTCTTGTAGTTAAACGCTAAGGTATCAATACGCAGTAAGGAGTTTTGTTTCGCATTTCGCCTTGGTGAATTTTTCAAATATGAAAGTAATTGTGCAATGAAATTGATTTTTAGGTAAATGGAGAAAAGTATAGCCTTCAAAGTGGGTTTATATGAACATCAAGATTTTTTTTTTCAATGTTTTATAGGCCATTTTCTGTTTGACAGTCCGTAATTTTTACATCCGTACTCGCCATAGGTCCAGATTATTGTGGTGTTTTCCAACAAATATTTTACGCTCGAACTTTTCAATTCAATTTTATTGAAGAATGAGGTGAAATACATATGATTTTTATTTGACGGCTTGATAGATAGATGTCAATGGTTTCAGAAAAGTTATCACTCAAATTGATTGAAATGCTACTTTGGACCAAATTGTGGGGGACTTTTGTGACATTTTCACCCATTTTTTTGTATCAAATAAATGCTGATTGTTACCATGGTTACACATAAAAGAGATTATATTTCATCAGTTTACCTATTGGAATCATATCTATGGAAGATGCTGTTTCTATACATATGCTCATACATGACACAAACAGTAAGCCTTATTTGTTAGAAAGTAAGGGAAGAAGGGTGGTTAAATATTATGAGTATCAATTTTATGTTTTTTTCCATAACTGTGCATTGCTACCTAAAGTGAGGCGTTCGTTTGGTGTGATGTATAAGTATGCAACCACGACCAGTCAGATTGAGAACGTTAAATTCGATGCCCAAGTTAAAGGAAAAAAAAAGAGTTCTCAAAAGTTGCAATTTTCCGATTTTTTATTGATCTAATTGTGAAGTGTAAAAGTGAGACGTGTCCAATTCGAATACAAATGTTTGTGAATTTTTTCGTAGAATTGTTTGAAGTTCAAAATAAACAGATGTGATATGAATTTCAATATGACAACTATCCATAGACAAAAGAACAAATTACTGGTCACCATACTCATGATACTACAATCACAAGCAAAACCCATACCGTTTAGTAAGCTATACAAGGTCCGCCCAGGTAAAAGAAAACAGAAAATCAACGGATACTCTATTAAACAGTAAAGGAAGAATAGATATGTCAGATATTAACAAGTGACAACTACTAAGTGATAGGTTCCTGACTTTGGACATGCACATAACGAATGTGGCAGGGTTTAAGGTGAGTGGTACGTAAATCAGTAAAAATTAACCACTAATTTTGAAATTGTTTAGGTTCATCTTACGTTATATCTATGTTCTTGATAGTGTTTTCTTAACATTTTCAAATGATTATAGCTCCGAAAGTAGATTGGTTATCCATCAATTTTTCATTGCATTTTTTAAAGATTTAAGTGTATATAGTTTCTTGACAAAAATCGCTGCACATGCCATTTACGTACCTGTAAATGCCATGATCATTTCCTCAATATTGACACAGATGGACGACTTCACACGAAAATCTATGATAAACGGGACGATTTCAACTTCCCAATTATCAATTTTCCATTTTTCAGCAGTAACATAGCCTCTGTCCCTTCGTATGGTGTTTACATATCTCAGTTGATACGTTATGCTCGTGCATGTTCACACTATACGGACTTCATATACAGGAGTGTGCTCCTAACGCAGAAACTGCTCCAACAAAGTTATGAGGAGGATAGATTAAAAATGACACTCCGTAAATTTTTCGGACACCATCACGAATTGGTCGATCCATATGATGTGGCTTTGTCCAAACTAACTAAGGACATTTATACCACGTGTTAGATTGTGGTTCGACATTACGTCGTCTGATCTTTTAATTACCGAACGTGACTTATTCCCGATTGTGACTGTTTTGCTGAGTGTGAATTCGTATTGCTATAAGACGTGTCACGGTACTTTTCTATCCAAAATTCATGTATTTAGTTTTGATGTTATATTTGTTATTCTCATCGGATTTTGTCAAATGTCTTATCGTTTGTAGTTGTAAATCTTATTTTTTTTTCTGTTGTATTCGTGTGTTATGGTAAAGATAATTAATCACCCAGTTCATTAATTATAAATTTATACGATATATTTGGTTTACAGTATGATTTAGAAGAAACACCGACATAGCTAGATAATACTATTAATTATCTAATTACTACCACATTTTATATTAATTAGTATTGTAATTTTCATTGTTATTAATAAATGTTATATGAGTATTTTAAACCAAATCTTGAATTCTATCCTAATTCTATCCTATTTTGGGGAAATTTCAGAAATTCAAATGTGACGTCACCTGTTTTTGGCATTGATCTCTTTGGCTAACTCGGCTGTGAATTTTTATGTGCTGGTTTATGTTTTTTTATGTATCCGTTTTTATTCTGTAGTTAGTCACCACTTCGGTGTTATCATGTATATCTATTATATAGTAATTTTTTTATATAAATTTACTGTTTGCAAAAGTATGAATTATTCTAAATACTAAGGATTTTCTTATCCAAGACATATAACCTAAGCCGTATTTGGCACAGCTTTTTTGAACTTTTAGTCCTCGGTGCTCTTCAACTTTGTGCTTGTTTTGGCTTTCGAACTTTTTTAATCTGGGCGTCACTGGTTGGTCTTGCGTGGACGAGGCGCGCGTCTTGCGTATTACATTTTAAACCTGGTACCTTTTGTTAGCTATTATTCGTATGTTTCTCTGTCCTATATGTTCTTCCATTAATTTGTATTGTAGTTCTGTCATGTAATGTTGTCATTTTAATGTTATATTTAACATTGCCATAAAAGCGGGAGGTTTGGCTAGCCACAAAACCAGGTTCAACCCACCATTTTTTTCTTAAAATGTCCTGTACCAAGTCAGGAAAATTGCCATTATTAAATTATAGTTCGTTTCTGTGTGTGTTACATTTTAATGTTGTGTTTCTGTTGTGTCGTATTTCTCCTCTTATATTTAATGTGTTTCCATCAGTTTTAGTTTGTAACCCGGATTTGTTTTTTTCTCAATCGATTTATGAATTTTGAAGAGCGGTATACTACTGTTGCCTTTATCTGTAACCTTAATGTAGAAAAAAAACAAATAATAAAAGACTAAAGACACACAGTACCGACCTAAGAGTACTCACAGTTACTGAAATCTAGCAACATTTCCAAATAATAAATTTACCATGCTCTGTCATACTACTGCATATTGAATCAAAATTAAAATATTAACATGAAAAACAGGAAAACAGCTTCAAAAATTCTAGTCTTGCTTTTATTTAACGGGAATTTATAATTGTATGAACGAAGGTAAAAATCAGTGCCTTTGATACGGTCATTAATATATACATATACATACCATTATCAAGGTGTTCATAGCCTCTTGGCAGCAGAGAACCGTCTATTCGAGCGACAGTTAAAATTCCAATTGTAGCTCCAAGAAGAATTCTGCTAATGCACCCGAAGAACCCTATGATCACATGAAAGAAAAACAGGAAATAGTCCAAGACGTTGAATGAAGTCCTGCAAAAACAAAGATTTTCCTAGGAGTTCGGTATTTTTGTTATTTTACTTTTTAGTAACATGTGATCTAAAAACATGTTTCAAGACATAAAATGAATATTTAGAATTAGAATGAGAAAAATTAATACAGAATTTTCTGTTTGCCTATGCGTTAATCGAAAAAAAGATTGTATTTAATTTTTTTTTCTCAGACTTTAAAAATTAATGCTATCTTGTATTCTTTTTTTCAGTTAATTTAATCCAAAAATTCCGCAAAAGTTGTGTCAAAAATTGAAATACGGCTATATAATAACAAGAATAAGACAGCAAAAACTATGTGATAACCCCGTCACCAAAAACCAATACCTTTGTCTCGCCTCAGTCACCTCTTTCCAGGCGAAAGAGGAATAAATTCTTTCTTATAACCATTACGCAAATCTTTCTGATTATATTCACTATGAAAATCACCAACTTGTCATTTGCAAGTTTTGATGTATAAATCTAAAGTGTAAGAAAAACCTCTTTTTTGGTTTCTTTCATCAATTGTTGTTAACTAAGTGTTGATTTCCTCTCACTGGTCTTTTGCATGTTACATGTACAAAACAACGATTGATGCATGCATATACCAACAGAAATTGACCGTTCAAATATGCAGCGTTCTAGGTTTTATTTTTTAAGATAGAAACTCGTTTCTGCTCGGACAATTTGTTCAAGAATTGTTTCATTTTTAGACGTATGTGTTTCTTGCACTGACAAAAGATCTTTAAGAACTCAGAAAAAATAAACGCCAAAAATTGTATTTTGAAATATAACTGTGGTTTCGGTGAAAAATCTGTAATCCGATATTGAAGGAGTTCACAGTTTCTAAAATGAAGTGTTTCCGCTTTCACGTATAGTCAACTCGTTTTAGTCAACTTTTATGAAATTTAAAAAAATGCCATCTATAAATTAGAGATACCTATTTTTCAATGCCAGCACACGCTGATAATCTTCTGAATGATTTTTCTTCACTTTATGGTCCTGAAGATGTCGCCGATCAATTAATACAGTTTTAAAATATTCGAATAAATACTTTGCAATAAAGACAGGTCTGAAATTATGATAAAACATATAAGCTTATTAGTAAAAATAATTTCTTATGGTATTAAAGTGCCCACTTTAATCTGAACCAAACCTAAATGAGCACTCGAATTTTACAGGGGGACAAAGAAATGGTAACACAGTATTGTTGACATAAGGTGGATAAACTCAGATTGTTTTTAGAAAATAGTTTTATGCAGTTTGTGTGCTACTGTCAAAAGAGAAGTTACTGTCGTAAAGGTACACTTAATATATAAGAGTTTAAATGATATATTTTAACCCCCCCCCCCCCCCCCAATTTTTTTAAACGTTACACCTAACTGCGGTTAAGCACAGCGAAAGGCATATGCCGTAAGTTAAAACTACCCTTTTGAAAAAACAAGAACAGTGGCTGTCGTTGTAAATTCAGACCGTCAAATCAAAATAAAAAGAAACTATTAAGCCCCACCCAGATAAAAACACACGTACATATAAAATACACAATTAAACGAACTTTCAGGTTGATTTGCATCAATGGGCTTTTAATTTATGTACACGAATATCCCATGACAATTATATGGTGTGTATTTTATTAATAACTATTATTTGCATGTAAAAGTGCTTCATCTCAAAAAGTTTTGAATTAAATGGTAAAAGTTCTTTATTTTTTTCGCCGTCTTCTTTACTATTTAAAGGTCAATCGTAAAAGGAAATGAATAACAGCAGTTTAAAAAAAAAGTCAATTGTACCATTTTGCTTGAAAGTCGTCCCGACATCTATTTCCTGTCAGTGTTGCTGAGTTTGTGTTGAACTAGCATACTAAACTCTTTCACAAAAAGTTTTTAAGCTAGAGCGGACAAAAGGTAAGGTTTGAATTTTGTTTCACATATACATCACGAATTGTCGTTCATACTGACTTGTGCATTCGGCACTGAATATTACTGTTAGTATGTTTTTTTTTTATAGAAAACCTTCATATTTCGGCTACCTTGTATCAATGAGTTTATGTTTTACTGACCGCTACCCTCGTGGACATTGTTTCTACGATGAAATAGACGTGTAAATTCAAAACATGTCTAATATAAAAACATCTTTTTCTTGTCATTCTTTTTGTTTCAATTGTTTTTATAAAAACCGTTAATTGTACCGGTAAAAAAATACTTACAGTATTGCCTTTAAAGGTGTGAGAAATGTTTCAGGTACTTTATTCATCAAGGGCAGGATGAACAAATATGCCATCACAAAGCAAACCGTAAAGATAGTCAGGAATAGGATAATATAACCTGTGTGAAAGTAAAAATCAAATCGACTGGGAATGTGTACAATTTATTTAAATGTTGAACTTCTTGTTTTCTTCTTCCTTTGTTCATTTTTCTTTAACCAACCTTTTGCCCTAAAAAGCATTTGTTTCTTTACAAAATCGAGGAAAGTGTTCAAAAACAATCAATTTGTTATTCTTGTATTTTTTTTTTTTTTAGAAAAATCATCATTTTTAAGATAAGTTCTCTGTTCGAGTACTGGAAGTCTTGAATAATTGGATTTAGTGCCTGTCATGATTAAAAAATGACGATAGAAAATGGTAATTGTTGCATTTTTACGTGTTTGAGATTTGTTAATAAATTGATGTCATTTGTACTGGTTAATAAGCAAACGAAAAATATTAATGGTTTATAAAATCTAATTTAGTGTTTGTTAAATAACAAGGTCACTTCTAAGACTATTTGGGGGCCTCGGTGGCCAAGTGGTCTAAGCAGTTACTACTGTAATCACTAGCCAGTCAACACTGAGGTTGTGAGTTCGAACCCCGCTCGTGCGGGTGCACTCGACTCCAATCTTAATTGACTAGGATTGTCAGTTTTCCTATCGAAGGTCGGTGGTTTTCTCCGGGCACTGCGGCTTCCTCCACCAATAAAAACTTGCCGCCACGAAATAACCCAAAAGCAGTGCTTAAAAGTGGCGTTAAAACACCAAAAATCAAATCAAATCAAATCTAAGACTATTTGTCCAAGTTAAGATAAATGAAGACACGGGAAAACACACAGACTTGACGTATTCCCCTGCTATTACCGTCTCCTCGGATACGTTTTTTTTTTAAAGTTGAACGATGGACAGTCTTCGGACGGAATGCTATCTTACTACCTGATTGGAAAATATTACGGACTCTTTCATAGTAAAAGTCTTTTGATTGGTTAAGATAATTCAAAACCTAGTAAATGTCCTTCAATCCCGCAGAGTGTCAGATCTGAACTCTTTATTTTAGTTATTAAAGTTGCATACATATCGGTACACGGGAACATGATTCTATATATAGCCGAACTTCATTGCTATTTTGTTTTGTATAAAAACGCACATGTGATCATTTCAAATGTTATCCAGTCGCTCGTTGTTATGAATGTTAAAAGTCATTACAGTTAAAACATATATGAAAACCTAGTGACACACCGCGCATGCTTTTTTTCCTCGATAAAACATATTGATACATAGTAAGATAATCCGAAGGTAACAATTTAATTGAAAAACGGATATAACCAAATCAGTTATTTTCGATTAAAATTAGTATTGATTAATACGAGAATAATTTAGAGGAGAGATTGTGCTGGGCTAGGCGATACCTTACCATCTCCCCGTGGCAATATAGTATAATGAGAAGAACACAAGACGATGGTACAATAGGGGTGAATTCAGTAAACAATCTCCCATTGACTTTAATGCATATCTATGTCTTGAATTAAATTTATACCAGATTTACCTTTAGAAATCAGAAGCTTTCATATATAAATTCATTAAATTACAAATGTAGCCCCATCTTTTGCAACAATAAAAACATAGGGTCATGCGGTATTTTTGGGCATTTACATGGCCTTGTCTACAAACACTGTAGATTCGCAGTTGATTCCTATACTAACCCCCAATTACTTGTAAACCCTGTAGTAAAAAAATTAAGTGCATTCAGCATTCATTTTTTAGTTTTTTTAACTTCAGTTTTGATCCATCTATAAACAAATATTCATTACAAACATTATCTACCAATCAGAAGAGCACAGGACTTCAGTGTTATACAGAAAGCTCTCCCCTAAATGGGCGGTCCCTGATGATGTATATTTATTTACTGAATTTACCCCAATAAGAAGAATAAACGACTCTCAGACTATAAAAGCAGTTATGTGTGCTTGTTAACATATTTTAATTTCTAAATATGATTTAAAGGAGATGTGAAGTTTATATAAATAGTTAAGACAGGCAACCAATTAATCGACGCACAAAACTGCTTAAGTACTTCTAAAGTTCAAACAGCGCATGCTATTACAAGTTTTCATATTATGTCATTACAAATTTTAGCGTTTAAACCTCCCAAATCTAGTTAGATATAGTATAGTTTTGAATAAATGTTTTGAAAAAATTAAGAAAAAAACCGAATTAATATATGTAACTGAAAACAATAAACGAGTCAGAAACAAACGCATTATACTTGTTTTTGAGATTTATTGACAATTTATACTAAACATGCTATACAAAAAAGAGAAAGAAAAAAGTTAAACATTTTAAAAGACGAAAATACTGTTGGCATTGGATTATTTGAAAATGGATGTTCTCTAGAGGAATTTAAAATCATGTATACACATATACAAACACTATGATTATAAGACATGTCAACATATAAACGCTCTTCCACAAAAGAATATGTTGATTCAACATGTTAAGCTTTGAAGGGTAAGTACGATAAAAGCCTTATTTTTCTCTCAATATCAAGTCCATAATGCGACAGACGGAAATAGAACAAATGTTGTCGAACGCTTCGAAAGTTACGTTGGAATGTATATTCGAAAAAGGCCTCAAATAGTAATGACCCTCTCTTTTTTCGGTGATTATACATTCCCCTACAGGCATTTGTCTCTGAAATTATGTTATATATACCTTAATGTTATTTAAAGGTATATATGAAAAAAAATCAGACAAGTGCCTGTGATTCCCTACAATAAAGATATTTGAAAATCTCAAAATTAGTATTTACCGTTTATGTTGTGCAATTCATTATACAATGATATTCTGTATGGAAAACATTTTCAAATTTCATCAGAGATGAGACGGATAGCTTTTCAGAAAAAGCGATTACTTGTACAGGTATACATCAATCACAGATCTAATGGTAAATAGTACATTATAAGTATCAACTAGCACAATGCAAACGAACTGGAAGGAAGATCGACAGGGCTAATGTACAAATTGAGAAAAAGATGCATACCAGAACTTCACTAACATATATCAAATGTATGCGATAATCGTAAAAAAATGTTTAATGCATTTGTAATAGTAGACCTGACTCTTGAACCATATAAATGTATTCTTTTGACCAGAACAAAAATCAATATTTCGCCTAGTTAATTTTAAACTCCAGTAAACTGAAACAATTATACATAAAAATAATGGTTAGTTCTTGTAGACGACCGGAGAAGTTTTGTTTTTATTAGTTCTATTTGACACTGCGTTTAAAGAAGTTAAACAATAAAATTTCTAAAATATTCCAAATAAGGCAATGTCTAAAGGTACAACAAAATATATGTTTCTACCTCGAATCGAAAGTTGACAATAACGTGCATTATATCTTTGCATTGATATTTAATATAGGAATTCCTTAAAATAATTTTTAGCGTAAAAAATATCCGTAGGGAAATATTGCATAAAAATATAAATCTATATATACTGGGAGAAATACTTACACCAGAACATATATGCAATTTGAGTACCAGAGTATCGCAAACTTGAAGCCTATATATGAAAACAAATGAGAGTTTGCATTTGATACATTATTGCAACTTGGTAATTCGATTAAAAACACAAAAAACTGAATATTATATGAGAAGAAAACAACCTTTTAATAAGTATTAAAGTGTACTGACCGGAACTGTTGCTAAAAATTTGTAAATAACTTCAACCAAACAAAATGATATTTGATATGAATCACAGTTGATAACCAACAACGACAATAATTGTCTTCCCCATTCCAAACTAAAAGACAAATTGAAAGAGTTAGTATTACTTTGTTTCATTAAAAAGAATGGCGAACGTAGATACAAGTATCTTGTCTTGGGAAGGGATAAATCCTACTTTGTAAAGAATCACTCTGATTCAAACAAAAAATTCTCTGAAACTGACATTATCAAAATGCTTGATTTCTTGATTGACAACATATTTGTTACGTTTGGAGGACGTGTTTTTCAACAGACTGTCGGAATTCCAATGGGAACCAATTGTGCCCCTCTTCTTGCCGATTTGTTTCTTTATTATGATGAGGCTGACTTCATACAGGAACTTCTTAGGAAGAAAGATAAGAAGTTAGCAATATCCTTTAACTTTACGTTCCGCTATATAGATGATGTTCTCTCACTAAATAATACAAAATTTGGTGACTATGTTGAACGAATCTATCCCATCGAACTAGAGATAAAGGATACTACAGATACAGTTAAGTCTGCCTCATATCTTGACTTACATCTAGAAATTGACAATGAGGGTCGGTTGAAAACAAAAATTTACGACAAAAGAGGTGATGCTTCCCAATTGTGAATTTTCCATTTCTGTGTAGCAACATTCCAGCAGCGCCTGCATACGGAGTATATATCTCCCAATTGATACAATATTCCCGGGCTTGTATTTCCTATCATGATTTCCTTGATAGAGGATTGCTGCTCACAAGCAAGCTATTTAACCAAGAGTTCCAAGTGGTGAAGTTGAAATCATCCCTTCGTAAATTTTACGAACGCCATCAATAGTTGGTTGACCGTTACGGAATAACCGTTTCACAGATGATATCGGATATGTTCCTTATGTCGTAACTACAATACCCTTCCCTTTTCACGAATGTGACCTACCGAATTAGACTAGTTTACGGATTTGTAATAACATAAGCAACACGACGGAGTACCTGAGATCACCCCCAGTTTTTGGTGGGGTTCGTGTTGCTTAGTCTTTAGTTTTCTATGTTGTGTCATCTGTACTATTATTTGTCTGTTTGTCTTTTTATTTTTTGGCCATGGCGTTGTCAGTTTGTTTTCGATCTATGAGTTTGACTGTCCCTCTGGTATCTTTCGTCCCTCTTTTGTCTCTTTCATGGCTTTGTTTCTTTAGTTTTACACGGGTAACTTTAAAATATGTTTTTTGTTCGTACTGATGATTTTCCACTTTTGGACGGTGATTTTCCTTTGGACCCATCTTACTGTTTTTTTTTTGTATATTTCCGAACTCGTACGCTATGCCAGTATATGTAGAAATATTTTAGATTTTAAGGAACGCAGTGTGTGTACAAATGATAAAAATCATCAAGTTGGGGGAAATATTTCGATGCCAAAC